AGCAGACAATAATCCCTGCCCTGTGGGTCTTACACTTCTTGTGGGGGAAACAATCAAACAACATTATACAAAACTTAGCATTTGTCAGATGGTGATAAGTGCCATGGAGAAAAGTGAAATAGGGGAGTGGAGAGTGGGAACTAATTTAGATGGTATGATCAGGGAAGGAATCCTTGTCAGTGCGGTGGAGTGGATTCCGACTCCTAGCGCCCCTGTAGACAGCAGAGGGGAACCTGGCCTGGTGGTTCTGCACCATCCTCTCACCTTCCGGCGCTCTATCAGACAGTGCTCCGCTGCTATTCATAGAGTTTTTATGGCCAATTTTTTCGGAAGTGGGAGGCCAGGTCCTTCTTCCTAAGGACACATTGAGAAGGTGAAATTTAAGAGGTGAGGGCGCAAGCTACACGAAGGGAAGGGCACTCCAGGCAGAGGAACCCAACTGGCTGCAGGAAGGCCTTGAGGGGCAACATGCCCGGCTTGTCAAAGGAACAGAGAGAACAGTAAGGGGCCCTCTTGGGCCTGACTGGCGGGAGGCAGCAGATGCCGGAGTTGTAGGAGGGGAGAGGCAGCAATAAAGGGGAAGGCTGATCGTGTAGGACCGTCAAGGGCATTGCAATGACTTTGTCGGGGCCCACTCATCTCTGAGTGAGATGAGAAGCCATTGGAGAGCTTGTTTCCCCCTAGCTTTTTTGCTTTGTTTTTGGCACTTTTAATTGTTATATAATTTAAAACTTTCAGAAAAGTTACAAGAATACTACAAAGAAATCCCGTATACTCTTTTCCCAGGTCCAATAATTGTTTACATTTGCCCCATTTGTTTTATCATTTCTCTCCAAATATAATATAAAATATTTGTTTTCTGAACCAGTTGGGGGTAAATTGGAAACATCAGGCCCTTTTGCCCCTAGTTACTTAGTGTGTATTTCCTAAGAACAAGGACATTTATAGCATAATAGTACATAATAGTACAATTATCAATAAAATTAATATAATACTATTATTTAATCCCCTGTCCATATTCAAATTTCCTCAAGTGTTTCAAAGATGTCCTGCATAGCTCTTTGTTCCCAATCCAGGATCCAATCCTGTCACACTGCATTTAGTTGTCATGTCTCTTCAGTCTCATTCAATCTGGAAGAATCTTTGTTGTTCTTGATCTTCAGAGTTTTGAAGAGTTCAGGACCGTTGTTTTGTAGAATGTCCTTCAGTTTGGTTTGTCAGATGTCTCTCAATGGTTAGATTCAAGTTATTCACGTTATGCATTTTTGGCAAGAACATCACCACAGAATTGATGTTGTGTCCTTCTCAGTGCATCGTGTCAGAAGACACATGTCCCTTTGTCACAGTACTGAGATATTAACTTTGATCACGTGGTTAAAATGGTGTTTACCAGGTTTCTCCATTGTCAAGTTATTATTTCCCCTTAGTGACAATTAATATGGAATCTGTGGGAAGATACTTGGAGACTCTTCACTACTTCATCAAAAGTTCACTCACTAGTTTAGTAACCGTTGATGATTTCTAACTCCAGCACTCCTATATTTACAGTTGACAGTTTGCTGTAAAAAGTTTTCCCCTTCTCTCCCATTTACGTATTTATACTGGTACAACTTTGGATTCTTACTTGATTCAATGAATTATAATCTATCACAATCATTATTTATTTTAATGCTCAAATTGTCCCAGATTTAGCCAACGGGAGCCCCTTTGACTGCAGCCCCTAGCTGCTATGTCTTTTTGGTATATACCCAATATTCTTTGAGCACTTCTTTACTTTCTGGTGCAACAAAACATTCCAAGATCATCGTTCCCAACCACAGCCCTGGAATCAGCTTTTTTCCCAAGGAGCCCTGGTTTCCTTTTACTGGAGAACAGTATTAGAAACCAAGATCTGGACACTTGGTGTGCTTATCACTACTCGTGTATCGTTTCTTCTAGGCTCTCTCAGTGGACAGAACTAGGAAATAGATGTATGTGTATATGTTGTGTGTGTGGATACATTTATTTCTCTATCTATACACATTAAAAACCATGAATTCATGTTGATATCCCACTGGAAGATTTTGAAGAGAAGAACGACAGGAGCTGATTTATTTTTTAAAAGGATCACTTTGCCCAGTGTGTTCAGAGTAGACTGTAAGGGAACAAGGAACGAGAGCAGAAGCAAGGAAATGACTTAGGGGCTATTGTAATAATCTGGGTAAAAGATGAGGATGGCTTGGACTAGGGTGTAGTGGTGAAGTAGAGACAAGAAGTTAAATTTTTAACGTATTTTTTTAATATAATTTTATTTATTTATTTTTTCCCCCAAAGCCCCAGTAGATAGTTGTATGTCATAGCTGCACGTCTTACTGTATAACGTATTTTAAATAAGAAAGTGCTGACCAATGTGATGTGCAGTGTGTACGAGAGAGAGAAGAATTAGGGATGATCCTAAGGTTTTTAGTCTGACCAACTGAAGAAATGGAATTTCCATTTACTGAGCTGGAAAGACTACAGAGAAGCAGGTTTGGGGAGACGAGCAGGAGTTGATGTGGACATTTTAAGTTTGTGATTGGCTATGAGATATCCAAGTGGAAATGACAAGTAGGCAAAAGGATAGATGCATCTGTAATTCAGGGAAGAGCTCTGGAGCTGGAGATGAAAATTTTGGATGTATTGATGTGTTATTAGTTGATATTTAAAGCCCTGAGACTGGAGATCACTAAGGGAGTGAGTACAGACAGAGAAGAGGTTGGAAAATTGAGCTTTGGGAACATTCCTACATTTAGAGATCCACAAGATGATGAACCAGCAAAGAAGGCTGTAAATGAACTGCTAATGACATAGAGGGAACATCAGAAGAGTGTGGTGTCCTAGAATGGAGGTGAAGAGAGTGTTTCTAAGAGGGAGAGTAAGCACCTGTGTCAACTGCTGCTAAGCAGTGATCAATGGATTTAGCAAGGTGATGATCATTTGGTAACCTTAATGAGAGCAGCTTTGATAAACCGGGAGAGCGCACCTGATTAGAGAGGGTTCACAGGAGAAAGGGAAGATGGAATTGGAGACAGGAGGTTGTCTTGCAGAACACGGCAACAGAGGAAATGGAATGGTAGTTGGAGGGGCTGTGTGGGATCAAGACAGCTTTTGTTGTCTTGCTTGTTCTAAATTGGAATACATTTCAGTATGTTTGTATGCTGGTGGGAATAATCCAGTTAGAGAGGAAATTCTGATGGTATAGGAATGAGAGCAATGTTCTTGAGCCCTTGTGGGCCAGAGGGAATGGGAAATCTGGTAAGTGTAGGGGTTGGCCTTAGGTGGAAAGGTTCATCTACAGTAATGAAGGAAAGGAAGAGTATGGGCCACAGATGGGAAAATCTCTTCGGAATGCCTTATTTTCTCAGTGAAACAGGAAGTGAAGTTGAGGGAGGATGAAGGGATTCGTGGTTTGATGTGAAAGGAAAAGGAATGAAACAGTCTTATAGGAGAGCTACATGGTGAGTGGATTAGAGAAATGTAATACGATTGTCGAACAGCACTGAGGAACCGAGTTTGGTGGAGTTGGGAACTCAAATTGGCAGTTAAAAGGCAGGATACAACTTTCGGAGGCGCTGTAGGCAGAAGTCTGAGGCCCGCAAGAGGGCGCCCGCGGACTGGACCCGGGTGGCTGAGTCCCTGAGAGTCTCAGAATAAATGGCAAGATCTTCTCCAAGGAAAGAAAGCGCTAGAAAAACAAATTGCTTCCTCCTCCGCAGGCCGTAATATCCACTCCCAAAAGTACTGACGCTGTGAGCAGGATTCGAACCTGCGCGGGGAGACCCCATTGGATTTCGAGTCCAACGCCTTAACCACTCGGCCATCACAGCCGCGTGCGGCCCGGGGCCTGCGCAACTATAGCTGCCTATCAACGGGCCCGCCTCGCGCCGGCCCCGCCCTGCTGTCTCGAGATGTCTGTGCGCGTGCGCCTCGGCTCGGCGGTGGTAGCTGCGGCTTTCCTGCCTCGGCCAGCAGCTGCCCTGTGGGAACGGCGACTTTCCTGTTCTCCCTCGCCTCCCCAAGCCACAGTAGGACCCCAACAAAATGAACCCAAATCCGAGTCCAGCGCCCCGTAACCCTGAAGGCAGACAAAGGGACGCCCGCTTCAGCCTCTAGATGCACACTTAAAGTGCACGGAAACGGAAGCCCAAAGAGGGGTTTGGCGTGGTAAGAAGAAGAATCTTTCAGAAGGTGAGGCAGAAAGGCCCTTTCGGGAAGGTAGAAATGGCTTCTCTTTGCAGCAATAAGATACTAGGCCGCATCCGCCAAGGCACCGCTGGGATTCGAACCCAGGATCTCCTGTTTACTAGACAGGCGCTTTAACCAGCTAAGCCACGGCGCCGGCGCAAGGGGGCCTTGCCTCTAGAGGTAGATCAGCTGTTAGTGGGCGCCCGTGAGAAATAACTACGGGACAATGGCTGGCGCGGGTCTTCAGTGACTCATCCCTTTCAAGGTTCCCCTTCCCTTCTCGGGTTAGGAGCCCGAGGATTAACGCTCTGCCCCTCCCTTCTCCCACACCTTTGGGGGCCAATTCGACCATGAACGAGTGCATGACTCCCCATCCCTTAGCCACCTAGACTGACCTGCTGAAGGGCCCTCTCCTGCGTGGTGACAAAGAAGCTCAACACCCTGAACTCCTTCAGAGCACCACTGGGTTAAGTGGGCTTCCCCGCTCCCTCAGGCGCCCGTGGCCCACGCTGGAGCTTGCCCTTAACCGCAAGTTGCTTCTCATCTCTCCTTCCCAGGACAAATCCAGCTGAGGTAATGTTAGAGGAGAGAGTAAGGTTTCGGGGAGATTTAGCAGGCTCAGCAAGGCCCTCCAGCTGGAAAGGATGTGGGGAGAAGAGGACTGGAGTCGTCAGGGGAGGTTTTTGCCCACTCTCACTACAACCTTCCTGGAAGCCAGGCCACACCTCCCCACAAAGAGCTCCCCCCACCCAACCCCCAAGCTTCATTCCACAAAGTTCTGGGGTTTATTTTTTCTCTTTGTATTAAAAAATAACAACAGACACAATATCAAAAACACAAATGCCATCGGTAGAGGGTACAGCTGAGAAGGCCTGGGTCCCACCTGAGGGGCAGCACCAGGGACTCCATGGTCCACCAACCTCCCCTACCCTGGAGCAGCTAGGGGTTCGGACCGCTGGGTCCTGCTTAGGCCTCAGGCCCTCCTCCTCCCATCTGGAGAGGAGGTGGGAGACAGGGCTGTCCCCTCCAATAAATAATTGCAGCCCCAACCCTCGGGGACCAGGACTGAGGCTCAGCTGGGAGACCACTTCAGCAGCTTGTCAGCAACCTTGTCCAGGGGAAGGAAGGACTCCTCACCAGGCATGGGAGGTGAGGCTTCTCTAGGCTGGGCTGAAGAGTTCCACCCTCTGTTCCCTAAAAGGCCAGAGGCAGCCCCTGGATCCTGGGCTGGTGATGGGGGTCCAGCCCCCTGTAGCGGTAGAAGCTGGGGCAGTTTCCTATTGGTTGGTCCAGCCACATCTGAGTTCTGAGAGTTGGGACATGGGAGAAGGAAGCTTCTCACGCACTCCCAGAGGTGGCCCCAAAACGTAGTCTAGCTGGTGCCATTTTCTGTGGCAGGTAAGGCTAGACTGGACGAGCTCCCACCTTGTTCCTCCTCCTCCATGGCCAGGTCCTGAAAGCTTGAGACCCTGGCCCCAGCCTGGGCTCCAGCCTCATCTCCGCCCTCACCCTCACCACCACCGCCACCACCCTCGCCTCCACCCTCCTCCATGGGCTCCAGCCCCAGTCCATCCAGTTCCGAGAAGAGTGGGTCATCAGGGTGGCCAGGATCCTGGGTGCTACTTCCGCAGTCCACACAGGCCTTGGGGATGAAAGGGAATGAGTCAAGCAGGGTTCTCACTGCTGACCTGCCACCCCAGCTCCCCTCATCCCTCAGCCCAAGATGTACTCCCAAGAAACACTAGTCCACACAGGTGCACAGGGGGTGAACAAGACTGGAAAACGCATTGTACCCTATATCCAGGCCCCACTATGGGACAGTCACAATGTATATTAGCATAGGATAGGCCCGGAAAAGGTCTACAAAAACTCATGTGGTTTAATACTATGTAACCCAGCAGCAAACTTAGTGGAATTAACACTCTTCAGAATTAATGATCCCAAGACAATGAGGGCATCAGCCCTTAGCCTCTATCTCTTCAACTTGAGCTCAATTCCTTCCTCTCCTTCCTGGCCCAGATCTCTGCTTCTCACCATCACATCAAGGGCCCGAGGCAGCTGGCCCTTCCGGACCCAGGAGTGCACAGCACCCAGTTCCCTCCGCTGATCCTCCGAGAACCGTGGCTGCTGTTTCTGCATGACCCGGAGCAGCTCCCGGTCCTGCTTCAGCACAGAGGCCATGTCCCTGCCCGGGGAAGGGTTCAGAAGGCAGAGGCTGGGAGCCGGGGCCAGGCCCCACAAGGTTCGCATTCTTCCTATACTGTAACTCCCCACCCACTGCCTCATTCTCCTCCCCAGAACCAGTGCTCTGGGAGTTCAGGACTTCCAAGACCAGAAAAGCTGCCCTCAGCCTGGGAGGAACTATGATGGAGCTCCAACTGGCAGGAGTTAGAAGGAGAAGCCCCAGGGCAGAGCCAACCCCAGCAAAAAAACCCACCAAGTTAGCTGGGGAGTGAGGGTGGGCCAGCCTCCCACTCCTCTGAAAGGAAGGCAGAGGAGACCTCTGAAATGCCTCACCTGGAGGGCACCTGGTAAGTCATCATGACACGCTGGTCAGCGTTGGCCATGAGCAGCCAGATGGGATCCTGGAGCACGTACTTAATGACCTGGTCCCCAGGCTCAGCCCTGGCCTGGGCAGCCCCAGCCTCAGCCTCGGAAGAGTCGATGCTGCCGAAGTACTTGCTTGTGTGGCTGCTCTGACTGCTGCCTGTGAAGCAGGGTAGGGGCCAGCCAACAGAGTCAGGCCGGCTGGCACTCCCACCCCCAGGGCCTCACAAGGCCTGCCTCAAGGCCACATGTCCAGCCCACTGGCCTTAGGAAACAGGGCATGGGCCCAGGCTGCTCAGCCAAGGTGGGGCCTGGCCTCCCAACTCCCTAGTCACTGCCCTAACCTGGGAGGTGTTGGAGGGTGGGCACTCACGCGTGATGCTGGCTGAGGTGCTGCCCTCCTCCTGGGAGCCTGAACCAGACCCAGAGCCCAAGCCAGAGCCCAAGGAGCCGGAGCCAGAGGCGGCAGAGCCTGTGCCAGAGCGAGAGTCCTCTTGCAGCAGCAACTCCAGCAGGTCACTGGAGCCGGAAAGTGCGTCCTGATTGGAGGACTCGGTTACCTCCACCTGGAGGAGGGGGAGGGGGAAGGGGATGGGGAGGGATTAAGGGATCAGCACCTAGGCTTCCTTTCAACTGCTTCCACTGGTCGGGGGGCACACCCAACCCAAGTGGTCTCTGTTCCCACTCCATGACCGTGGGGCCAGGATGAGAGAGAAGAGAGCTGCCGAAGAGTAGGGACGTGACGCTGGACCCCTTCCAAGTGGCAGATGCGCTCTCAGAAGTTATTGGGATGTCCTCGCCACCTGTCAGACAGACAGGACTGTCCCCACTTCACAGATGAGGCAGCCAATCTCTGTCTCATTCAGAAATTCAGCTGGGGTCTGCCACCCCACAATACCACCTTCTGGAGGCTAAGACAGCAGGCAGGCAGAGGGCAGGAAGAAGCGCAAGGCGAAGAAGCAGCAGCAGGGAAGAGGGGCTGCATGGGGGCTGGTAAGAGGTTGCAGGGGGGTCAGTGCTCACCAGTCTGGCCTCTGGTTCAGCGGCCTCCTCACTGGGAGGCGGGGGCCCAGCACTGCTCCCAGGGCCCCCTGCAACAGCACCCCCCTCAACACGCAGGGACTCCTCAAGCTGCAGCAGATTTAGCTGGAGTGGGGAGCTGCATCTTGAGTTGAACAGTGGAGAGTCCGGGTGGTGGGGAGGGCTGGGGGGCAGAGGGGGGAGGGATGGAGAAGGGGAGTGGGAGGCAGGGGTAGGAGGCCCCTCGGCAGGGGTCTGGGGTACCCCATAGGGATAGCTGGATGGGGTAGGGAACAAATAGTTAGGGAGCACCAAGGCCACCATTGGGGTCACCAGGGGGGCAGGGAAAGCTGCAGGAGGCACAGATGTAGGGGCAGGGGGAAGAGGCTGGGAGCTTCCTTGAGGGGAGAACACTGGGAGGGGGTAGGGCTGGACCACAGCCGGGAAGGGAGTAGGGACTGGTGGTGGGGGCCAGGTGGCAGAGGGCGGCACAGGCGAGGGGTGGGAGACATAGCAGGGGGCTTCAGCCCGGGGGGTCTGGTGGTGGCGGGAGCGCTTGGCTTTGGATCGACAGTGGTGACGGCGGCCGGGGGGTGTGGGGCCATGGTGGCAGCCTGTGGGAGAGACTAGGGTTAGCGAGCGCCTCAGCCTGGGGGTTAGCACCCCTGCCACCCCCACTGCCCTGTCACTCTGACCAGGTGAAGGCTCTAGAGAGTTTGGCTTCCTGGCCCACACAGAACAGAGGACTCTGGGAAGGTGGGGGAACCTTCAGGGAAGAATCACAGAAGGCAAGGACAGGGGGATTTATTGAGAAAGGAGCTGGGGAAAGGAAAGGTTACATGAGGGGTGGAGCTGGGGGTGTAGAGAAGATAGAGACACGCTGGCAGAGGGGAGGAGGCAGGGTGGGTCCGTGGACGAATGGGCAGGTGCCTCGGGTCCATCCGCCAAAACTCCTGCAGGCACTGCCAGCCTGGGCGCTCCTCCTGCCAGTCGAGGCTGCGCTCTGCCTAGCTCCGATGGAGCAAAGAGGTGGGCGGGAAAGCCCAGTCCTGAGTCCTGCGTCCCCCTGCAGGGGGCCTCCCTCGGGTACCTGGAGGGCTGCCATCTGCCCTTGAAGCCCTGACCCCACCCAGAGTTGTTCTTGCCTATGGTCAGCCCAGAGTCTACACAGATCTCTTGACCAGTGACAGCTGAGTCCTAAGTGGGCATACTTCCTGCCCTTGCCCCCAAGCTAGGCCTGAAGGAGCTTACCTGGAGCAGGGTACCTCCACCTCCCTGTCTCCGTGCCAGCCCCCCAGGCCGCCCTCCTCTGGCTGCAGCCCGCAACCCGGGCCTAGTGGGGAGAGACTAGCAAGGGACCTGTCCCTAGGGAGGGCCCGGGTGGTGGAAGTAGCACCGACCTGGGCCCCTGGAGCAGGAACATTTCCCTCAAGAACCTCCCCTCCCCCAAAGTCTGGTCCTAGACCTGGCAGAGGGCAGGCTCAGGGAGGTCCCAGGTGGCTACCTCGCTCGCCAGGGGCCAAGGGGGCCAAGGAGCTGTCGAGTCCACGCAGCTTGCCGAGGTCACGGAAGCGGCTGAGGAAGGCCTGCTCCTCCTTCTGTGTGTGCAGGGACAGCACGGCCTTAGTCAGGCCCACCGGGCGGTAGGCATCTGGGGCTGGGTCAGGGGCTACTATAGGGCTCAGGGCTGGGCCTGAAGCCAGACCAGGAAGGTCCTCCAACATGATGATGTCTGAGGAAAGTGAGATGGGGGAAAGGTCATCAGAGTCACCTCAGGGGTTAAGGTATCCACACCACACCCTGCCTGTCCAACAGCTTAGCCAACTCCTGGCCTCTGCCTCACAGTCAAGCCTGGGCCCCGTATGCATCTCTTGGCCACCTCCTCACCCCCCGAGGACAGGCCCTGGGCTGTCTTCTCCATGCAAAGCTGTCACAGAATGAGAGGATACTCAGCCCCTCCAGTGGCACTAATCTAGGATGACATCTCCATGACTCTCAGTGGAAGTGAAGCCCACCCCTTGTCCTTCCCTCACACATTTTCCAGGTCGATGCCCAAAGAGCCTTGGGTTTCAACATTCCTTGCCTTCAGACCCTCTGTGGTCAGCACCTCGGGGTGGAACCCCCCACCCCAGACTGTGTGTGTGAACTAACAGTGAAAACACAGGAAGCAGGATGGGGAAAGGCAAAGCAGCAAAGGCTGGCGGGGGTGGAGGGCAGGAAGCGGCAGCCCCAAGCTAAGAGGAAGGCTGGCCTTCTCTCCATTAGGGGCCAGAGGGGGAGGGAGAATGCAGGCAGTGGGGAGAACTAGAAGGCTGGGGGACCAAGTGGAGCCTGGGCACTGCCACCTCACTTCACGCCCATACCCGACTCCGGGGGCTTCTTGTCTCCTACATGGACGATGGTGGAGCTGAAGCTACACTGACTGGTGACGGACACTACGCTCTCCGCCTTATTGGCCAGGGCAAGTGGGCTCAGGGTGCCTCCCACCACTGGCTCCTTCCGCAGGGTGGCCCCCTCCCCAGACAGCACTGCTGATGGATCTGTGCGGAGAGATGGCACCAGTTACCACCCCGCCCCCACCAGGAGGCTAGGAGAGGAAATCCTGGGGAGGAGGGGAAAGGTTGATGGTAGGGCAGAGTCTGGAGATCTGGAGGCTGGGAGGGGGACAGGGCAGAGCGAGGTGGTGGCCCCAAACGTAGACGTGTAGAGACACAGGGCTAGTGGGCCAGGACAGGGCAGTAGGTGCAGGGTGTGCCCTGGGTCTTTACCTTTCTTGGCCCCCACAGGGACTGGACCTGTCCTCTGCTTGTCGTCGTCAGAGGCCGAGGACGTGGTGCAGGAGGAGGAAGAGGCACATTTACGCTTGGTCGTGCTGGGGATGTTGCAGCTCTCCAGGTACCTAGTGATGCATCAGAGGACATGACGGCAGAGCCTGGAGCAGGGCTGGGCCAGGGCCCAAATGGGAAAAGGTACCAGGCTGGCCTTACCTGAGGATGCTGTCCAGGCAGTTGATCTGCTGGTAGGAGCAACTGGAGGCTTCTTTCCTCTCAGCCTCCTGAGGGGCTAAGGCTAGTGGGGCCTGGATTAGAGCAGGGGCCGCCTCCAGGTCTGGGTCTGGGAACTGGCTTGGAAGGGTCTTGGCCTTGAATGTGCCTGCAGCTGGGCCAAGGAGAGAAAAAGGAGAGACAAGTTCCTCTGGGTTAGGGCTGAGGGTCAGAGGACCCCTCAGGTCTCACTCCTCACCCACAGCCTCACCAACTTACCAGGGAGGCAGGGCCGGGCCGGAGGCCGGGCCCGAGACTCAATAAAAAGCTGCTGCCCCTGATGCTTCACCAGATGCACATCCTTACAGATCTGCTGGAAGGTCACCTGTGGGACAGAGCAGGGCAGTGGACAGCATTGGGGGGCCTGGCCAGCATCAGGGGCCCAGGGCACAGTGCAACAATAAGGTAGCAGTGGGGTGGCATGGAGGCCATGATGAGAGCAGAACAAGAAGGAAAAGGAGGGGCAGCCAGGCCCAGCTCCTGTGGGGCTGGCAATGCTGATTCAGAGAAGGACAGGGGAATGGGAGACTAGAGGGGTGAAGTGGGAGAGGGTCACTCACCGGGGCAGGAGGCCCAGGACCCTCGGCATCACCCCCGTTGCTATCACTGGAGGAGCCAGGGCTGAGGAGAGGGCCTGGGGAAGTCACAGGACCGACTCCGCAAAGCCCCGTGGGGCTGGGGCTGTGCACAGGCTGAGGCAGCGAGAAGGACAGGTTAGGTGTCTAGAGCCCTGCTCCCCACCCCCTCCTCAGCTCCCAAGGCCCCTCCCCTCAACTCTCACCTGTAACAGCAGCCGGTGGATCTGCTCAGAGAGCTCCTGGATATCAGAGTCCAGGGACAAGGCTGGGCTGGGGGCCGGGGGAGTGAACACATCCTCATTCAGGGGTGCCCTGAGGGGTAGGGAAGGAGGAGATGAGCCCTGCCCCCTCCCCCACTGGCCCGCCCCCCAGTGCCAGCTCCAGGGCATGGCCCACTTACGTGCGTACTTTGTGACGGCCCAACACAAAGGCCACCTTGCGGCTCCAGGGGTGCACAAAGCCGGCCCAGCTGGTGTCCATGGTGACATACTCCCCATTACGGGCGCAGAAGCGGATAGGGGAGTGGTCAAAGGGCTGGCCAGCCAGCTGCAGAACTGAAGGGAGTGGGAAATGAGGTGAGGGTCAGCAGGTGGGAGAGCGAAGTAAGGCGGAGGGCCAACCCACTGGAGATCTAGGAGACCAAGGCACCAAGAGACACAACCACAAAGGCAGCCATTAAGAAGCCCTGCAGACAGCAGGGAAGGGAGAGCAGGATGAGAGAACTCACTCTTCTTGTGGATGGCCAGCATGAGGGGTCGGTCCTCGGGATGCAGGAACAGGAGCACTGGGGCCCCCAGGAGGTCCTGGGGCAGGTAGCCCAGCAGTGGGGCGGCCCTGAAATGAGAGAAGACATCAGAGTGGTCATGGCCTCAGTCCTGGCCACCCCCTTTTCCTCCAGGTCCTGATCTCACCTTTCGTCCACATCCTGGAAGAGGCAACTGGGCGTGTGCCGTGTGGTGAAGATCCTCTTGTCGGGGGGGATCCGGGGAGCTGAGACACAGAAAGTGTGGCCGTTGAGTTTCATCCAGAATGTTGCGGCTCCTCAGCCCTCCACACTGCCTGGGGCCCAGGCTGACTGGCAATCCTCCCCACAGCTCTGCCCTGGGTCCTCTGGCCTACAAACACGGTCTGAACCATTCTTGTGCCCCACACCAGCAATGAAACTGAGAACCAAAGCACTCTTCTTTGCCCTCTCCTAGCACGGGGCTCTTATCCAACTCTACCTCTAAAGGGGGGCTCAAACCCTCATCTTTATAATACCTTCTCTGTCCCAAAATTCTGAGGGGCTGTGTCATGCCTCCCAGACTCATGTCCTGCCTCACCCACAGCCTAGAGGAGGGGCCCTTCCTCCTACCCACCACAAGGCCAGGGCCCTGGCCTGCCCACCTTCATAACCCGAGTGGATGCGCTCTGCGATGAGGAGGCAGCATGGCTGCGCGGGGGCCCCATCTGAGACCCGGATCTTGGTCACATATGGGGTTAGGCGGAATGGCTGGTACCGAGGCCCTGGATCCCAGTCAGGACCTCCTCTAGCAAGGGAGAGAGGGGCATTAGAGACTATCAATGGAGGGCCACCCCCGCCCCCACCTCAAGGTCACAGCCCACACAGCAAAGAAGGGGGTTGTGTGGAAGGTGGGAGGGTCTGCTCCCACTTCCCCCACCTACCTGATACGGCAGAAAACGGACTTTTCCTGGGCGAAGTCCTTGAGGCCTGAACCTGGGACAGACCAGGAGAGTGGTGAGCACAGCCCCCTACCCCTTCCCTAGGCTGAGAAGAACCCAGCAAGGAAAAGCTTGGGTCCCCTGGCCCCTCACAGCAGAACCTTCTTGGCACTGCTTATCCCTCCCCTGAAGTCTTGGGGACCTTACCTGCCAAGGCCCCAGTGCCCCAGGTGGGCAGGCGAGATGGGGCAGTGGAACCATAGAAGACGCCCACATCCTGGGGAGCCAGGAGCTCCGAGAAGCGGGCACCTCGGAACACATCCCGCTTGCAGTGCAGCAGGATACCTGCCTGCTCCGAAATGTAGACGATGCGGCCTGTCAGGAAAGAGACAGCCACGGAGAAGGTATCCTAGGCAGGAAAGTGAGGACAAGAGCAGATTCAGGAGCTGTGGGAGTGGGGATGAGGGTGCATCAGGATGGAGAGGCCGAGCTGCGGCTGACCTGGTTGCGAAGCGTGTACTCAGACGTAATGTGCTCCAGCTCCTCCAGAGTGTAGGTGGACATGTCCATGGCACAAGGCTCACCCTCCTCCAGGCTCCACTGCTGGTAGTATTCCTGGTTGGCTGCAGAGTGAGGGCAGTGGGGCATTTAGTGAGGAGGCTGCCCCACCACAGCAGTCCTGGACCTGGCCATTGCTCTCCCAGGAAGCACCACTCACCCTGCACCTGCTTGACACAAGCCAGTGCATACTGTAGTGTGGCCAGAGTCCCAGAGCGGCCCTTGCCCCGGCGCTCTGGTGGCAGCCGAAGCTTGAGCTCCCGCAGTGCCATCATGAGTTCCTTCTGGGTCCTTGCCCGGGCTGACTGTTCACTGCTGCAAGGCCCACAGGAAGGCAGGGGGTACAGGCATTAGCCCCAGAGTGTGGCCCAGGCCCCCAGTCCTCTCCCCCAGCCCTCACCCCATGAACCTGCAGCCACTGGTAGACGGGTTGTCCTGCTCCGAGCTGGCACTCAGGAGGCTGTAGGCAATGGAACTGCTGGGTGGGGATGGGCTCTGCGAGTTTGTGCTAGGGGAGAAGCAACAGGCCCAAGATGAGGGGAAAGTGGCCAGCAGCATGGGCCTGTCTCCTAGCTCAGCCTGCTCACAAGACCACTCCCAGACCCTGCAACACACATCCGTACACACCTCTTGCTGCTCTCAGTGGTCTCCAGCAGGGCCGAGTCCTTGCCATTGCCGGAGGAGGAGCTATGTGAGCTCCGCTGAGATGCACCCCTAGACTCGGGCCCGTTGGACTCATTGCCGCTCGAGCCATTGCTGTTGGCATCCGTGTCATCAGCCAGGCTCGGGCCAGGGCAAGGCCGGTGCTGTGGAGGCCCAGGGGATGGGACCCCTCCAGGACAAAAAGATTCCCCTGGCCTGGGGTCCCCTCCCCCATGAGCCCCTTCTAGGGGGCCGCTCATGTCTGGGCCATGGGGAGGGCAGGAGGAGAACAGGGAAGGTGGAGAGGCCACCACAGATGCACAAGGGGGCCGGGACGCGTGGCTGGGGGAGTTTGGTGGGAGACCCAAGCCACTGAAGATTGAGAAGTTTGATCACAGCCAGTACCTGGAGAGGGAGACCAGGAAGGAGGGCTTGGATAAAGCTGGGCTGTTAATTTCACAGTACCTGTCAGCTTCACTCAGACCCTTCCCTGCCTGCCCCCACGCTCCTGGGATCCAGGCTTCCAACAGGGAGCCTAGGTAAGCTGTTTCCTGTCCCCCCAGGAGGCTCCAGGTGGGAAGGAGCCTCTCTTGGGCCTTCCCCCACATCCCCTGCCAGCGTGGCCTGGGTTAGCAGAGCCTGAGCAGTCGACTAGAACTAAGACTGTCGGCCAAAGCCTGGACACTTCCCACCAAGCCCCAACTCTGCCTGGGACCCCCAGGCCTCTGAGTAGAAGGTGAGCCTTTTTCCTCCTATATTTAGGCCTCCAGGCTAACTTTAACCGGGGGCGGCGCCACCCCCGCTGCACATGCGCACGGACATGCGCGGCCCCACCACGCGCTTCCGCCGCCGTCGCGGTCGCCAGGGAAACCGACGTCAGCAGCTGAGCTCAGCGGTTGCTGGAGGGACCACAGGAGGGCGGGAGGGGCGACCCCTCCCCCGTTTCCCGACGGAAACGGGGGAACGACCCACTCCCACACTGGCGGGCGCGGCCAGGGGTCGCCCACCTCTAATACATCCCCAGTCCCCGGAGGGCCCGATGACCGTATGAAGAGCGGCGGCCCATCGGGGTTCCAGGGGCTGGCCTTGCTCCCCAGGGCAAAACACCACCGCCACCGCCCTCCGAGCAAAAGACCCCCAGCCTGGCGCTCGCCTGGATCCCAGTCATTCTGGTCGAGACGACACACTTTCCTTCTCCGGCTCCTGCACCCTCTCCCGATCCCCAGGACCAAAGCCGGCACCTGCCATTGTCAGGGACCCAGGAATCCTCTCCCCTCAATCCTCTCCTTCTCTAGACACCCCCCACCCCACCCCCATGCGAAGCAGACCCACTCAGCTCTGAGCAAGGGCCGCACAACAGCCAGCGGATTGTTCTTCCCCTACTCCCCGTCCAACCACACCCCCAACACTCCGAGCATTTTCGGAGCGCCAGGAGAAAAGGGAAGGCTGTGGCCAACAGCAGGAACTAGGGCCGGGAACGGGATGTTCCAGCCCGAACCAGGCTGACATCACGGCCGGCGCGGGGCCAGGGACTGGAGGGGGGAGCTCGGGGAGCGCGGAAAGCCTAAAGGGGTCCTGGTGCTGGGGCAAAACATGGGACCCCCAAGTGACAAGAAAGGTGTAGGGGTCATGCCTGCTGAGGGTCGGGTGTGGGGCCGCGACAGCTGGGAACGGAGGGCAAAACTGGAGGTAAGGTAAGCGGGTCAAGAGTGCGGACACTCGGTGAAGCGTTGCGAGAAACACCTAGGTCCCCGGGGCCCGAGAGGGGATGGACAGGGACAAGGAAGGCGGATTTTACTGGTGTGCCTTCCGAGCGCCTGGGCCGAAAGCGGCCCATTAGGCTGGAAGTGGCGGCGGTCCGGCTCGGGACCGGAGACCGGCCCCCGGGTGGCCGCGGAGATGCCTACCTGGCCGCGCGAGCGCCCTCCGGCCGCCTGCCCGCCGCCGTTGCAGCCCGCAGCCGAGTGGAAGCTCCGCGGGGCCAGGAGGCGGGTTGCATAATGCCAGGCACTGCCCTTCATTGGCCTCCAGCCGGCGGAGCCACAGGCCCCGCCCCCGATTGGCTGGGCCTCTCGTTCCGGCGCCTGATTGGCTACTGGCCCCCACTGAGGTCGGGGCTGTGTCACACACACGGGCGCACGTGGATCTGGGTGCTGGCGCTGGGCTGAAGGGCCGCAGACACCCACTGCCCAGCCAATGGGCGCAGGACGCCTTGCACAGTGAATAATGGGAGGGAGGGAGGAGGAGGTAAGCTGCCTCTCTTTGGGGAAAATGCCTGGGCCACAGTAGGTGCCTGACATGTCTACTTCCTGAACTGACCAGCCTTGCAGAACAGGACACCTTGGCCTTGCCAGGGATGGGGAAAAGGAATGCAGACCCTGGGAGGTGAGCCAGGGTGGATGAGATGGCTGGTCCCTGGGAGGAGGGGGACAGACATAAACCCGGCTTGGCCTTTCCTGGGTGCTCCTCCCCAGGCTTGTCATCATAATAAAGCCGTTTTACCCAACCCCTTCCTCTGACACTTCAAATCCTGTGGACCGCTAGGAGGAGCGCAATTGAGGGTCCACGTGTGATGGGGGGTGGAGTTGGCGGGGGAGGATGCAAACAATAGAAGGGGCAACTAGAGCCAATAGGGTCTGTGAAGGGAAACCATGGCAGGTGCTTCTGTGGCCAATCAGAGAAAAGGTCTCTGGGCAGCCTACGTGGTGACTAGTGCTTCTTCTCTCCTGAGGATGCAGCCACCCACAGTTAGGGCTGTCCCAAAAGTAGGGGCCAGGAAGCCAGGGCTACAGGGGAACAAAGGGGGTGGCTGAGAGAAGAGACCAAATGGGACTCTAGACAGAGAAAGGTGGGATGGCGAGGGTTTCAGATCTCCACCTCTAGGAAAAGAGAAAGCCAAGAACCTCATCTGTCTCCTTCACTGTATTCCTCAGCCCCCAGGACAGAACCTGACACATGGTAGGTGATCAATAAACTCCGTGATTTTATTGTTAACAAAGCTAGGTAGGGGAGGGGAAGGGGCCTCAGCAATGGAGAAGGGACTGGAAATTATAATTTTTTAAAAGAGGTGGGGAGCAGAACACTGAGTCCTAATTTGGGGGAATAAAGTGCCAGGCTGGGCCCGGGAGAGCTCCAGCTCCATCCAAGACTATGGTGAGTAGTTCCTCTCAGGGCTCCCTGGAAACGTGGGTGGCAAGTGCAGAGGTCCCCAAGCTGCTGCTGACAAAGTCAGCTGTGGGTGCACGCCCCTCACTGTCACGTGGCCTAAGCTTTCCTTAACAATGGTGTTCCCCATGGAGGTGGGGGGGCAGAGGAGAGCACTGTGGAAAAGCTGGGACACAGGGATGTTACAAAATAACCCAGAAAAACCAAAGCAAGAAAACAGGAAACAAAGGATTCAGGAGCCTAGATTCTCAGCCTTCTCTCCTTGAAAATGTCCCCCCAATTCATATACTGTGGCCCACTCCCTTGCCTCATTTTCAGACACCTCTTCTCCGGAAACATCGTTTCTCTTCCTCCCCAACTCGCGTCATGGATTTAGGTGTGATCTCCCCTGACACAGGCAGTCCTTGCTCTCCCGCCTCCCCCTCCTTTATCTTTTGCATGGACAAAAGGGTCCAGCGCTCCAGCAGCCCCCGCTTGCTCTCAAGGCCCTGGCTGTCCTGCCTCACGGTCCCCACAGTAACCAGGCCCTGCTGCCGTCAATGGAGGAGGGGGGCGGGAGATAGCAGTGACGTCCAAGTGGAGGAAGGGGGCGGGGCGAGGCAGTCGGGGAATGTGGAGCAGGGAGGCTGGAGAGGCAGCGGTTTGGGAGGCGGCCAGCCCGAGAGGGCGGCGGCCAGCGCACTTGGGAACATCATGTTCTCTTGGCTGGTGGCCCAGGACATGCACCCAGCCTGGGCGCCTCCCCCAAACCAACGACAGCCGTCCTGTCCCAAAGCCAGGGATTCCTGGAGAGAGGATTAGGAGGAAGGGGTCCCCCGCCCCCGCCCCCACGCCTGGCTCTCTTCTCAGGACTCGCATCCGCCTTCCCCTGGGCTTGTTTCTACAGCTTCCGGCACTGGCTTTCCTTCTCTCCCAAACTGTACACATCTGCTGGCTCAGTCCCAAAGAGCCAGGGCGGGGAAGTTGGAGGCCCAGGTTCTGCGAGAGAACACCACCTTTGCTCCTTCCAGAGGCCCCCTTCAGAGCCTGAATCTCTTGTTATTATGGCAGCAGAGACACGGAGGAGGGGCAGGAAGCAGAATGGGTCTAGGATGAGGAAATCGAACCGGAACAGAGCAAGTGGCCCAGACCGGGGCTTGGATCCTGGGAGAGGGATACAAGAGTGGAATGACGATTTTGGGCTGCTGCCTGAAGACAAGAAGTACCAGGAAGAGGGAAATGGGGAGGGAGACACCAAAACTTGCAGAAAAACTTGAGAATGTGAGAATAGTTCCCAACCACAGCATTCACATAAATCTCTCACCCTGTCACTGTTCTTTTGTCATCCTAAAGCCATTATTTTTTAGCTAAAAAAAATTTAAAAACATGACCCAGGCATTTCGCTAAGCACTTTACATACATTATCTTATTTAATTCCCAGAACAACCCTGTAAGATGGGTATTATTATCACCACTCCACAAGGACCAACTAAGGCTCAGAAGTTACTAAACTTGCCTAAATTGCCTCATAATATATTCTCAGGCTCTTAACAAATGAGGCCCAGGGTTCGAATCTGAGCCATCTGATAATGGCTTATCATTCTGGCTTCTTACCCTCAGGAACCTATGAGGTGTTAAACAGCACTGGGGAACCTGGGCCTATCAAATACCCAGCACTAAGTTTGGTGCTTGGAACACAGACTCGATCCAACCCCTCCTATCCTTTGGGCTGAATCTCAGACATTCAGTTTGCATTCTCCACACACTTTGAATCATCATAGCCCCAGTCTTCACATGCTCACAAAGTCCTTGAGATCACCCTAGCAGCCACCACCCCAGTGGTTTCCTAGGGACCCCACGTCCTCACTCTTCCACCTTACCCCAGGTCACTTTACCACAGACCTGGTTGTTTGTACAGACAGATACCAGAGCACCCTGTTGGTGCCTCCTCACCTTCAGGGTCTCAGGAAGACATGTGCACAGCCAATCTGCACAACCCCATCCTCCCTCTCAGGACTCAACAGTTTCTACCTCACCTTTACACCCAAGGATGGCTCTGAGGCCCAACCTCTCCCCTTTACACACGAGAAAGACATCCAGAGCCATGATGTGACTGGCTCAGGGTCATACAAATCATCTCACCACCCTTTCTCAAATCACCATGTCAGCCCTTTGATACTCTCCCACCTGCCCTACCAGGGCCTCCTTCCAGCCTCAGAACTCCTGCCTCTTTTCAAGTGCTTAAGGCACCCACTCAAACAGCAGCCACGCACTGGAACGTTCCCCAGCAGCTCTCAGGGGTTCCGTCCTGGGACCTCCAGGGAACAGGGGTCTCAGGTCCTCAGGTCGCTGAGGGCTTCCGAGCCCCTCCTCCCAGGCAGTCAGGGGTCCAGGTGCCCTAGGGCGGTGAGGGATCTGATATCAGTGACTCCCACCCACGTCCCTCTAGAGCTGAGTTCTCGGTCCCTATTCCCCACAACCATCAGAGCTCTCATCGCGGCGGACACGCATTCGCACGATCCCCCCGGCACTCCCTCCATTAATACCCCTCCTGACAGAACACACCAACCGGGAAACACCCATACCGACCGCCGCTCGTCTCCCCCCAACCCCGAGCACTCACCGCTCGGCGCGCACGCAGAGTCCAATATCTTCGCAACCAGGACCAGAGCGACCCGGACTCGCTCCTCCGAGCCCACCCACCGGCCGGGCTGCCACGCCCCTCAAGCTTATTGGCCTAACGGCGCCGACCCATGCCCCGCGCCGCGTGCGGCCGCCCGGCCCCCGCACCGGCACCTTCGGCAACCACCGCCCGCCGTCATTTTCTCATTGGTCAGCTTGCCAACCGGCAGTGACAGCTCCACGTGCGGGAGGGGCCGCCCCTGCGCGTTGATTGGAAGTCTGACAGAAAGCCACGCTCCCATCCACTTCCGAAGTTCCTATTGGCTGTGGCAAAATTCCCCGACCTGCCTAGATCGGTGACGCAAATTCCAGTCCAGCCCCCCAAACTTTCTCATAGGCTGAGATGTGCCGGAGCTGTAGAGGACACGTGCCGGCAGTCTCACGCGGCAACTTGTTTACCTAGAAGCTGGGGATTTTCCTTGACGACACTGTCACCCGACAGCGGAGTCTGCGCAGGCGCATGTGTAACCTGCACGCAGGCGCAGACATGAGCGGCGGTGGCGTTGGTGGGGGCGCTTTGTGCCGAGATCGGGCGAGCAGTCTCGGCCGTGACAAGAGCGCTCCCCACGCTAGGACTCCAGCCCTGGGTCCCCGAGGTTCCTCGAAGCTGGAAGGTTCGAACCTTAGGGTGAAGCGGTCTCCATATGTCAGTGCCTCGTGATGATGACGACGACGATGATAGCTGTCTCTTGATTGATTTCTGTGGACCAGGCCAGGGGCTTCTTACAAACCCAGAGGCCAGCTCACTTACTACCGGCTCACTCACAAATGAGACTGAGATCCAGAGAGGTAACATGATCTGTCTGGATTAACACTAGTCAGTAATGGGGTCAAGATTTGAACCCAGGTCCCTGACACTATAAAGAAGATGGGTCCTAGGATCTACGGGAACCCTAAACCTGGAAACAATTCAGTATTTGAAGCGTGAAAAAGCCCTGAGCACTGTCTGCAATATAATAAGCCCTCAATGAACGTTGAGACATTATAATAACTATGTACCTAATTATAAGAATCACCTGGGTCCCTTAGAAAATCTATTTTAGAAAGCATCCCTGTTAGTTCTTAAGAGCCCACAAGTTTGAGAAACACTAAGTCTCTTATACTGCTGAATCTTCATGTTGCAGCCAGAAGTCAGCCCTCCACAGCTCACCTGGCTCTCTCCACATATTGCTGAAGCACCTGGGGACAGGAATGCTAAGGTGCCACATCAGGGGCATCATGGAGACTAAGGGAGTTCAGACGGTCTAGAGTCACCAGTTGGACAACACAGAGTGCAGGGGTAGCAGGCCATCCATGGCCAGCTCCACACCACACTCAGCTGGGTCTTCTTGAACTGATTCATCACTAAGTACTTATTAATGCCTTCTGGATGCTGGCACTGTGCTAGGCACCAAAGGGAAGCAATGTTTCACACAAGTTAGCCATCTATTTCAGCCCCAGGAGTAAATGACCACGGGAGCGACTACTGAGCATCTGGGAGTTAAATCAAAAGGTAGAAAGGAATCCAACAAACAGCAGAAGCATGCCTCCCAAGCAAGAAAAGGGGCGGGGGAGTTGGGAAGCCCAGACCTCAGGGTTCAGGTGAGACGCAGGGATCAGGAACACTTCCTGTTATCAACTCCTGGTGCCCCACCGTGGCCACTCTGGGAATCACACTTTGCCCTACCCAAGGTCAGGCCCTCCGGCAAAGCTCAGTCCCTTCCCAATGTGTCTTCTCAACCTTCCTGTTATACCTGCAGATCCAATACCCTTCCCACTGGTTAAGAAAAGATCTTAGAACAGACACCACCTGGTTACTCATTACACATTTATTGTACATTTTCACAATCTGGATGCGCCACAGAATTGGGGGCATGGGGTGGGGGGTCAGGGGACACTGGGATAATATGGGGGGGTCTAGAACACAGCACCCCCACCCCCAGCATCTCTCCCTACCCTTTCATACCACAGCTTAGATCTCCCTGCTCCCCCTCCACCCAGAAACTATGAGTGTGGGGGGAAGAGTTGGGGGTGGGTCCCCTCCAGTGGCAGGTTAAGGGACTGCAGTCTCAGCCCCCTAAAATTGTGCCATTTAAAAAGATATTAGACCCTTCCTCTATCACTTCACCTAAGGAGGACAGCTCTAGCTTTGGGTTTCACCGCCCTAGAGAAGGGTGAGAATCCCCATCTTCCAGCAAGTCCATGTACACATTGGCAGTGACTAGTACCCCACCCTGAATTCAAGGGGGCAGTCAGAGGAGCTGGGCAGTGATGGGGGCAACACTCCCCAAATTGGGGAGGAGGGTTTTTAGTCCAACCCCCAGCAGGGGTGAGGCCAGAGGAGATTTCAGGCAGGAATTGGGGGGATTCTCTGTCCTGCCCTACTCCTCCCCAAGGCAGTGATGACCGCCCACACACTGGTAGCCACCTCTCCCAAAAGAAATCACATTGTGGCCAACCCCCAACTCTCCTGGTGGAAGGGGGAGGAGGCAGATCAGGCAGATGGGAGGGAGGGAGATCCCATGGGAATGTCAGTTGGGCACCCCACATGAAAATGGGGGAGCAGGAATGTGGGGAGAGACTCCAAGTGGCAGAATTAATGGTCCATCATAACACACTGAACTCCAAGACATTTTACACACCAGCTGGGGGGAGGGAGAGGAGGGGACAAGAGGTTTGGAAAATGGGAGTAGGGGAGGCAAACTGGACTGGGGGGCTAGGAGGGGGCAATTCTGGGGGCCAGAACAGCCTGGCTCCCCAAAAGCCCAGGCTCCCCACCACCTGCAAGTAACATCATGCAAATGAAAGTGTGATACAAGGACAAATGGGGACTAACTCCTCAGTAAAAAAGAAACACAGGTTGAAAGAATGAAAAGTGATGGAACAAAAAAGGGAACCAAAAGGGATGTCAGTATGCAAATGATTGCTAATTAACATGCTGCAAGCTCCCAGAAGACCTTGGGATTCTTAGGACCAAGTGGGGCCAGCCTCAGAGCCTCCCAATGATGCAAAGAAGATGCACCTAAGGAGGCCTGGACAGTTGCTTTTTGCTTTTTTTTTGTAGGGGACTGGGGGTACGGGGAAGGCCAGGGTGGAAGGAAGGATCAGCTAAATCCAAGGGAAGGAGGAGAGGAAGAGGGACTATTGCATAGCAGATGCAAATGAAGGGACTTGGGGCTGGTTAGGAAGAGAGGGAAAGGGAAGGAGGGAAAGAGAAAGGAGGTGATGGGAACTTCAGGAAGGGGTGTTAAGGACAACCGGAAAAATCTTCTAGTAATAAAACTACAAACAGACCAAATATATATAATATTATATATGTATAAATAACAGCTGGCTATTTACAGGGGGGCACACACACGGACACACACACACGGATCCAGGGGAGGGGGGGTTGGAAGATATGGCTGAGAGGTGGAGGAGCGGCTGGGGATGGAGGGGAGAGGCCCTTCTCTGGTCAGGGCAGGCTCCTCAGGGGTTTAAGAGCTGAAGTAAACTGTAGAGAGGGAAAGAGAAGGAAGAAGAGGGAGAGGGGAGAAAGAGAGAGAGAGAGAAAGCAGTGTGTCAGGCCTGGCCCTGCTCCCATCCTCCCCACTTCCCAGCTGGCTGACATCCCTTCCCCTCTCAGTCTCAGGTTCACCATCTGTAAAGCAAGGGGGCTGGACAGGTGAGTTCCAAGGTCTCTTCAACTCCATGGTATGGCCTTGGGGCCACAGACCCCTAATTCTCTGGGCCTCTGAGACCACAAGGTCTCAAGGTGGTTGGCTTCCTAGCCATGACTCTAGCCTTTCCTGCTCTCCCACCCTCCAGTTCCAGGGTTCCCAGACTGGGCTTTCAGGCCCAAAGGGTCCTCAAGGGAACAGTGAGGATCCACCTGCTTTCCTGTTTCCAGAAATCTTAACAGAAATTGCCCAGAACCAGGCAAAGCGCAAGCTAAACAACATCAAGGTTTTGGGCTCTAGGTGAATCATAACTGCCGTGGCAGCTACATATGCTTTTTGCTGAATAGTAAAAAAGTAGGTTAATGATCTTCAAAACCCAGAATTTGCAGGGGGAAGCCTCTCCAGAGAAAGGGACCTAGCCACTCCCACCCTACTCACCAATAATGATGATGAGGATGATGGCGCAAATCACTCCCAAGATGATCATCATCTGGGGGCGAGAAGAGAGAGTGAGACAGATCATGATACCCCCCTTCACCCACCAGTCCTATGTGCCCTCTCGCCTGCCTGCACCCTTACCTTGAGGTTTTTCCACCAGTATTTGCGCTTGAGCTTGGCTGCACTTGTTTCAAACTGGGAGGCCCCCGCCTGAAGTGCGTCTGCACGATCGTCCAGCTCTGACAGCTTCTGGTCCCGCTCCAGGACCTTGTCCACGTTCACCCTCATGATGTCCACCACCTGGGGGAGGGGCCCACGAGGCAGAGGGTGTGCCAAGGCCCACCTCAACGAGGGCACTTCTTGACCGTGTGCCCACATATGGAACATGCACCCCGATGTTGCCAGGCTAACATGCCAAGGACACACACAGAACATGCCTAGCACACCTCGGGACATGCAAGGGGCATACATCAGGGGCATGCTGGTAGCCAGACATCTCAAAATGTCATAGCAGCACCCTCTACTTATCAAGCCTCCAGCAGCCTGCCCATCACCAGAGCACACTTGCTCAGGCTGAAACACCCCAGGCTAGCAAGGCTGACTAACCCCAGGGCCTTTCTAAGTGCATGCTGACAGGGATGGGGCATGGTATGTCTTTGTCCCAAAACTAATAAACGTGAACTGCCATCACCCTCGACCCAAGATGGGTCCCACGCCGGTTTGCCAGCCCTCAGGGTCCTTCCCACTGCCTTTGACACCCCCCATACTCACCTCATCCACCTGAGCCTGGGTCTGCTGCAGTCTCCTGTTACTGGTGAGGTTTGGAGGTGGTGCAGGGGGGCCTCCCTCCCCAGCTGGGGCGGCAGGGGGGGCGGTGGCAGCGGTGGCCGACCTGAGGGGCAGGAACCCATTAAGACCCAGGACCTAGAGCCTCCAACCCCGTAGCCAGGGCTCCGCCCATCCGCCTGTCCATCCATCTGTCCATCCAACCGTCCCTCCCTTCCTCCTTCCCAGGAGAAAGGCCACCCGATGGGCGCCCTGGACTCCGTCGGGCTCTGCCGCCGACAAGCTGCGTGACCTTGAGTGAGGCCTCCTCCCCACTCCGGGCCTCAGTTTCCCCGCTTGTCAAATGAGAGCGACCTCACAGACACGGTCGGGGGTCGACCCGAAATGACTAGCGGCAGCGATGACAGAGGCCGGGTCCGCTCCCTCCTGCGACCACCGCCCGCGCGGCCAGCCCGGGACGCGGGGCTCTCCGGCTGCCCGCGCGCAGTCACGAGCGCCGGCCTGGCCTCGGGGCGC